GTTTCTCGCGTTTTCGCTGCTTGCGTTTCTCGCGTTCCTCACGTTCCTCGCGTTCCTCGCGTTCCCACTGCTCACGTCTCTCGCGTCTCTCGCGTTCCTCGCGTTCCCACTGCTCACGTCTGTCACGTTCCTTGCGTTCCTCACGTTCCCACTGTTCACGTCTCTCGCGTCTCTCGCGTTCCTCGCGTTCCCACTGCTCACGTCTCTCGCGTCTCTCGCGTTCCTCGCGTTCCCACTGCTCACGTCTCTCGCGTCTCTCGCGTTCCTCGCGTTCCCACTGATCGCGTTTCTCGCGTCTCTCGCGTTCCTCGCGTCTCCACTGCTCACGTCCTGTCTCTTATACACATCTAGATGTGTATAAGAGACAGCCGTTATACCGCGCCCTGTAAAGTCATCACTCTGTCCCAAAATTTGCTTATCCGCCGTCTACATTTAGTAGTTGCGAACTTCGAGAACACCCTAAAACTTACAACGAATAGTTTATTTTACGTGTATGTCTCATAATAAATTATTGTCTTATGTGGTTGTTTGTCTTTTATTTGAAAGCAAGAAAAACAAAACAAATGTATAGTGTTTCAGAATACGCCAATGGCAAAGACTTACCTCATTGATGACGTCATGTGCCATACGACTGAGTGTGGAATTTTCGATTCCATTTTGCACAGTTGGATATCGCCTATATTCGAGTTAGATTTCAGCAATGTCAATTAGTTCCCATGGCAATAATAATTTCAAAATTTGTACTTTTTCGTGAGCTTATATTTATCCGTAATACCTTTACATTATTAATTTCTTTTTACAAATAGGCCTAAGTACTTTATTATCAATTGATGATTCATATTTTCCTATGGTTGTCTGTCTATTTGGATATAGGCTAGGCCACACATGCCTTCTGTGATTATTTTGTTACTGAAACCTATTTTTTATTAATAAATGAAACATTAAACAAGCTGCTTTTAGTTGTAACAAAATTCAGCACCTTTAGTTATATCAATTCTTTAATTACCTTTTTTATATATCATATTATTATTATCATCTAATTCAGTTATTTTGTGTTTTGTTCAAGCGCTCTGGGTTACAGCCATGCTTGGTATGTGCCCCATAGGGTTTTGCGAAACATGATTCTGTGTGATACTCCACAAATCAGGAAATTTAAGTCCTGAAACACTGTCGTCAAGCAAGGTCAAGCACTGCAGTAGGAGCACGACGTACGGTTGTGACTGAATTGTTAGGAGCAAACAATATTTTAAAAATTAGTTTTAGGTTGTCGCCATGTTGAAAACAGAAATCTTTGCGCCATGAATATCACCTTGACTATCAATATTTTGAAGCAATGCTTAAATTTGGCGAAAGCATGATTATTTGAGTTTTCCATGAATACTTGCCTAATATGTCGGCTTGAAGTATGTAAGTCCACGGTACAGAAGTCAGTGGGAAATGACTCGCAGTTGAAATTGTTAAATCGATGGATTTCTTTTGATTGTGCTCATGAAGCAATTGTTGAAGAAACGTAATAATTAGTATGCGTTCACTATTTCTTGATTCTTTGCTAATGCAGTGGTAAGAAATAAGTCGTCTTCAATAAAGACAAGGAAGTTCACCAACTTAAGGTGCGTATACTGTTCACTTAAATTATCTTTTTTACACACAATTATGATTATAGGCCTATAACATGTCTTTGGAGATTTTTAGTTAATCCCCCCTCCCCCACTTCCCCAACAAGACATTGAACTGCTCAGACTAAGCTCAACATAACGATTCAGATTATTCACATCCACCAACTGCATAACTAAGTGATGCTCTATAAACCAAATGTCTTTTGAGTCTTAGGGAGTAGAGCTGTGAGAAAACCTCTGACGTGACAGGATTTGTACCCGGAACCCACACTGGAAGCAAGTATCTCACCTTCAAGTTCACTCCACATTACACTATTTAGCACTATATACATTTTCTATTACAACCTGTGTGTCAAGATGTTCTGTATTAGGTCACATCCTACAAATATTTTAAGAATCAGGTGTTGATATAATGATATATACAATAATAATGTACACAATAATAATGAGTTTACAAACGACTCTTCTATTTTTCTATAGCTTTCTATTTTTTTGCCTATTTTTTTTTTCTACAGCTGACACACCAAAAATGTGGCTATCATAAAGAGGTTATAGAATTACGTCCTATTAAATTATAAACGAGGTGTCATTATGGATGATTATACTTTCTTTACAATAATTTCTACTAGAGGTAATAATCGGATGAAGAGCACCGGTACCTTTAACACTCCAACCCGCGGCGGAGAAGAGCACCTAACGGTTTCCTCCCCACCCTAACCCGTGTCTGCCCAGACTCCTACACCTGTTAACATTTATAGGCCTTGAGATTTGGCGACGATCTCTAGACGACTTTCTTATCTAATTATTATATTAGATGGCGTGATACGTACCATAATTTATCTAAGCTGTGTATTATTTCAACTAATAACGCTTGAATTATTTGAATATATTATTGAATCTACTACGTACAATTAGAGTTTTGCTCATTGTTTAAATTAAGTGCGCCCGAAGAAGACTTAATGTTTTGTAATGTTCGTTGTAACACAGGCCCTATATACGAATAGTGTCTGTGGTTTTACTCTCAAGTTCTTCCTCCAATCCCCTCTAAATTTGCCAGAAACTTTTCCACGGCAAAATATCAAGCTGTTATTTCGACCATGTAGGGCGAACAATTAGCCTCGGCACTGCTCACCTGCAGAGATACGCAGCGTTTGATCTGGCTTTGCTCTTTTTGCCGCCACTCCAACAACCTGCGTTCGTGGGAAGTATAATAATACGATAGCTGCTTCACAACATGTTAGCTCCATGGTCTAAATTTGTTGCGATTCACTAGATAATCGGAACCTTATTGCATTAGTTAGATCTATCACATTTTGCTGTATGATCTTTCGTTTCCAACTACAGTTTTTGTTGGAATTCATAGCGAACTACAGTGCCAATACCAAATGCAATGACGATGATGAATTAAATATTTTGATATTTTTAATCATCTTTCAGTCCCAGCATCACCAATTTCAGATTGTGCAAATCATTTCTGCCGCACACTATTTCATTCGATAAGCCTCATGACACTAATATTTTATTTGATATTTATACAGTAATATCTGTAGTTGATATTTGGATATACAATTAAAGAAATTAAAAGGCAGGCTTATGTCGGAGTAGTAAAGGCCTAGGCCTATCTGTTATTCAAGGAAAGCCATTTGAGGGACTATCTAATCTCGAAACTTTGGATTTAAGTTTCAACCAAATTTGTACAATTGCGAATATTTTTGATGGGTTGTCAAATTTGATAACACTTAACTTAGGAAACAATGAAATTACAGAGTTACCACACGACATGTTTAAAGGACTTTCAAATCTTCAGACATTAGAACTTCAACACAACAAAATACAAACACTTGGAGCTAATGCTTTTGGAAATACTCCGCATTTAAAACGTTTACGGATTGACCATAACGATTTAACTGCATTGCATATGCAACCTTTTAATAATCTGAAGAAATTGCAGCATCTTGACCTCGGCTACAATAATCTAAAAACTATTGGAAACAATAGTTTTTCCACTTGTTCCAAACTTGAATATTTAAAATTGAATGACAACATGTTGACCTCCATTACGAAAGATTTATTTGGCGATCATACACTCTTCAAGGAACTTCAGTCTTTTCATCTCAGCAACAACCGAATTGGATTTATTGCCAACACATCTTTAAATGGTATGAAGAATATGCGTTATTTACACCTTGATAACAATTGCATTCTCGAGTTACAAACTTCCACCTTTAAAGAATTGCACCTTCTCGAATTTCTACATTTGCAGCACAATGAACTAGTTACTTTATCTGAGGACGCTTTTGAAGGATTACATGAGCTCCAGTATCTAGATGTTTCTTTTAATAACTTACACGTTTTAAAACCAACAATTTTTAGAGACAACTCTGCATTAAAAACATTGTCAATTAGCAGTAACAAAATAAGCCATCTTGCAAATACAACGTTTGCTACCTTAGTCTATTTAAACGCCATCTACGCGGAAGGTAACATGATAGATACAATCCAGGGTATTGATTTTAAGCATCTCAGTAGGCTGTCAACTCTTCACTTGGATCAAAATTTGATCACAATTATTGAAGAAAGTGCATTAACTGGATTAAAGAATCTAGTCAAATTGCACCTAAGAAATAACAAGTTAAAGGCTTTTCCGAGTCAAGTGCTATCAGACTTAAAATCACTCAGAACAGTGGATCTTCGCGAAAATGAAATTGTAACTTTGCAGCCGCCATCAATGAATCAGTCGGTTGATCTTCTTTTGAGTGGAAACCCGCTTAGTTGCGACTGTGCCTTGAAAGGGTTGAAAGAATGGTTTACCACATCAAGAAAAACTCAGTATCTAGAATGCAACAAACCAACAAACTTACGTGGACAAAACATATTTAGTTTAAAATTAGAATCTTTTCAGTGTAAAGCTCCATACTTTACCAAAATATCGCAGAACTTGAGAGTGGAAGTAGGAGATGACGTGAGGCTATTTTGCGAAGTAGAAGGTTTTCCAAAACCAGTTTTGAAGTGGTATGATATTGGAAACTCTGAAATCAAAACTTCACTAAAAGATATTGAACGATATGAAATACTTTCAAATGGAATATTGAATATTAAAAACGTATCTATAAATGATGCAGGTGTATACACATGTAGTGCGTCGAATGCAGGTGGCAGAGAGGATAGGACAATTAATCTGAATGTTGTAGACAAAGATGGTTCTAAAGCAGGTGTAATAGGTGGCGGTCTATTTGCAATAATTCTTGTTGTCGGAGTTGGTTTAGGACTATACATGTATCTGTGGAGTTACAAACGAAGGCGACTGGTTACCAACACAAGTGAAAGTAACGACCAAGCTTACATGTCTGTCTCTATCGGAGGATTTCCAACAGAGCATGAATGTGGAAGCCAAGGATCTATACACTCAGAAGTGGTGTACGCTACAATAGGGGCAGGTGGAACGTCTGAAGAGAACAAAACTAACGAAAAAGAACATGGTTATCAATCAATATGGAAACCACCTGTCATCAAGATAAATGAGGAAAGTAACGAAAATGAACCCGTAAAGAAGGGAATACGCATTCGCAAACCTGGTAGTCCTGGTTACATGACGATGCTTCCACAAGCTAGCGAAACTAGCACAGGGCCACAATTTAAACCTTCTTCATCTACACTAGCATCCCCTAGGTTTATAAAAAATAACGCCAGAAAAACAGCACCTTCTCGATTTGAACCATCTCGTTTTTCAAAACCGAAGGAAAAATTAGAAAATGAGTTGAAACAATTTCCAAATGTTGCGACAATTCTTACGCAGCGAGAAAATCCTATACAAAATACACTTGAAAAACCAAAACCCCTGACGTCTCTGTATGCATGTCCAAAGGGTAAAATAAAGCTTCAAGTGGAGCAGTTGGAAAGCATAACCAAAAAAAATGAATGTGATCGATCAGGACCCGACAAAAGTTTCACTATGCCTCGGTCACGCGTCGACAGCGAAGAAAGTCGTGCTAAAGAACCAATAACTGTAGGTAGTAGGCCAAGAAGAGGATCTGCAAGTAAAATTCAATATTCAAACAAAGTGTATGATTCTGTTGTCACATGATTGAAATTCTGTCTCAACGTTCATATTAAAACTGCCCGAACAAACAATTCTGTAACCGAACTTGATAATAATAATGGTGGACTTATAAGGCGCATATTGTCATGACCTCTATGCGCATCACAATGATAAATAAGTTTTAAAATAGAAATATCAAAATAATATGTGTCTAAGTATACTCATACTCCTTAAACGAAGTTATACTGTAGTTCGCCGTTGGCTCCGGAGAACTCATCCATCCTTTGTTCAGCTGTTGGTTTTTACTTGCTGCTGGGTGACCAAAGCACCCTCGCCTCAGCAGTCACAAAGACAAATCTGAATGGGCTTGTCAAATTGGTCGCCGACGCCTCGACTGGATGGAGTTCAGTGTCGTGCTCAGAACAAACCTAACTAAATTAAGCTACGCTTCTTAACTACCTTAAGCAACACTTAACTACTTTTGGTCAAAAATTATCCCCCGCCGGACAATCTAAGACATAGGCTGGATAGGGGGGTCACCCCCACAGTTTAACTTCCTTGGTATCATTTTGTTCCTACGGGCATAAAAAAACAAAAAATATAGCGATGCATTGTATGTACTCGCGTCATGTGTAATGGTCGTTAGTGTTTTATTGTCAGTACTTTTTTTGGGGTGGGGGAGGGAGTGGTAACATTTATGGTCATAACCTGTGATGTAAAAAGCTCATCAATATTATTTTGATAGCAATGTGTAGCATATATGTTTCTTAATCATATGCAGTTTAAATAAAATTCATCCGACAATTATTAAAGTCACTAGAGGTCTAAAAGTCATCGACCTTTTTCTAAAATGCAATTTTTTTTTGCATTTACATATCAATAAACTTCAGTGTCATATCTCTAATTTTGGATGTATTTGATACAAAATGTGTTTTTCTTGTACATATGGAATACAAAAATTGATGTTAAGGAGAAAAACATTAAAATGCATTATGTACTATTGTACATTGTATATGATCCTAGAAATTTGTAATCAACAACAGTTTTGGGGGTAGGGGGTAACATCTATGCTTATAACTCTTGATTTATTCAATGGATTTGTATGATGTTGGTAACAACATTTAGCCTATAGATTGGTCAGCCATTAAAATTGAAAAAGTTTTGAAACAGGCAGAAATTGAACTAGAGGTCAAAATAACTATTTCATTGACCTCCATAGATAGTTGTAAATTTATTCCCAATTCATCCACAAATGTTTACAAACCTACAGTTGTGAGTAGATTTGATACTAATTACTATTTTCTATTAGGCCTACTAGTAAGCATATGGAATATGCTTATAACTCATGATTTATTGGATGGATTTGCATGATGTTGGTATCAACATGTAGCCTGTAGATTTTCAGCCATTCAAATTGACGTATCTAAAGGTCAAAAGGTCGTTGACCTCTGTAGAAAAATACACATTCTTCCCAAAAACCGTGGCACATATTCTTTATGACAATAATATTGTCATAAAGAATATTATAATAGAAATATATAGTGGCGAAAGTTATGTTAAAAGTTTCCCACACGAATAAAATAAACGAGCGGTACTCGATAAAGACAACTTGGTTTCTTGCTTCAAACAAGGTATCCATTCGTAGGACAATTAATCTGAATGTTGTAGACAAAGATGGTTCTAAAGCAGGTGTAATAGGTGGCGGTCTATTTGCAATAATTCTTGTTGTCGGAGTTGGTTTAGGACTATACATGTATCTGTGGAGTTACAAACGAAGGCGACTGGTTACCAACACAAGTGAAAGTAACGACCAAGCTTACATGTCTGTCTCTATCGGAGGTTATAGGGTAATACGCCCGCGCGCGATCCAAAAGCGGGGAACACATAGGTTTGTCGCGTCAAAGGGATCTGTTGCCGAGTGATCTCCTTCTCAATAATACCTCCATGGTTTTAACAAGGTAATTCAACAAAAGGACGCACATCTCGGGACATAGATGTGTATAAGAGACAGATCTCTATGGTATAAGTGCATGTCGTTGGCAAGTTGTTGCTAACGAAAAAATGTGAATTATAGGGTAATACGCCCGCGCGCGATCCAAAAGCGGGGAACACATAGGTTTGTCGCGTCAAAGGGATCTGTTGCCGAGTGATCTCCTTCTCAATAATACCTCCATGGTTCAACCTCGGCAAAAGGAGATAATTCACAGTTATGCAACACGGTGGCAGAAGTTTTTTAGATCCAGCCGTACGCGGCGCCCCATTGTTTGTATTCCCAACATGCATTTCGGTGTAACAGTTTTTTTCTGTGGGGAGAACTCTATCTTGTGTTCTAGTATCTTTGATCTCCACAGCCAAGCAGAGTTGACCGTCACCAGCAACACAGATCTTCTTCAGACTATTTGGTGTTTTCTCTGTCATCCCCGTAACACACACACACAAAATGTGAGTATGCGTGGGCTTAGGCCTAGACTAGGCTAAGTTTGGGAAAATTACTGCTATCTTCTTAGATTCATGGCAGTAGACACGTGTAGGATGTCAGTTCCAGTCTGCAATGTGGTACTCTACTGACATCTAGAGGCCTACTAGGCCTAGGCCTAGGCCCTAGCTACCGGGGAATTTCCTGTCTAGGCTAGGGTACCTAGGCCTAGCCTAGCCTACATGGCCCGGCTCACCTAGGCTACTGTAAGCATCTGTCCTTGCGTTCTACTAGTGCTAACTGGGTTAAGGGTTAACTGTAATGTTTAGGGCCTTGCTTAGTGGCAAATTATGAGGCCTTGCAACTACTGTACGTGCTGGTCCATCAGCTTGAATCAGACAGAGAGAGATATGACCACTTTTCTCCAGCTTCATCACTATCATCAACATAATTAAAGGTAAGCCTAACTAGGCCTAAGTCATATCTGTCATTATCATCATTATCTTCAGCTTGACTCTGAATTTCATCATACACTAGGCCTACCCTACCTAACCCTGTGGCCTAGAGCTCAGGCATCGTCAGTTTCTAGGCTAGCCTAGCTAGTAGTAGGCCTATTCTAGACGCTCTTTTAAGTGCTGCCTTGTCGCGTTGGTAGATTAAAATGTTTTTTTTTTAATTTATGAGTGCGGGAGGTTTTTTTGTTTTTTTTTCTTTGGAGGGGGGCTGGGGTTGGATGGATTATACCCGGAGATGCCCGTGTGCATGAACAGAACGAACATGACATCGTTTTCCGAAGTGGCAGATGCATTTAAACAACTGCCTAGTGATCCAATGGCCTACAGTACTAGGCTAGGCCCTATCCAAAACTAGGCCTAGGCCTATATTCCTGTGAAAAAATCAGACATTACTCAAGCGTCAAAGGGATGGGAACACCCTAATCAATAGTTAGGCCTACGCGTCTAGGCTTTGGTCTTTACCTCGAGCTAGGCCAGCCTTTGCCTAAATAAAGTTTCTTGATGTCGTAGGTTAGTTTTTGCCCAATAACAACCAATCCAACCAAACACAAGTATCACAGGGAAGACCGTCCACTTGTAATGCATTATGTAACAAGTTATTTTTAGCAGCGGGAGTCTCTCTCTGTTGTGGTACATGCTGTGAATCAACAATCCGATCAGCCATTAGGTGGGTCTCTGTAGGGACCATGGTAGGGACGGGCCGTAGTGTTGCCTATTTTTAGCCGCAGCAGCTGTGGAACACGCAAGTCTAAACGTTGTAAATTAATTATTTGATCAGTCTACTGGGCGAGTCTCTATACGGACAGACCGCGGTGTTGTCTATTTTTAACTGCAGTTAGCGAGCTTATTTTTAGCGACAGTAAACAAGTTTATAATAAAGAATGGGTTTGCATTTTCAACTTTACGGCGACCCAATGTCTGATCTAATCACTTGGAAGAGTTTGTAGTCTGCCAAATTCGGAGCCAATTCCTTTATATTTTGTGAGCATTTGTTTTTTGCAAAGTTGTTTTTATGCAGTTAAAATAAATGATGCGACAAAAAAAAAAAAAATAAATAACAATAAAATTATTCCAGCATTATTATTTCCGAATTTTTTGATGCAGGCGGGAGTGATATTCTAATAAATGTTTCTATTTGCCCTCAGAAAAAATTTCACTTCGAACCACATTCATTCTAAAAAACATACTCAAAAAATTAAAGGTTTAGATTCATGTAAATGTTTTTGTGATTGTTTAATTGCTCAAATAATGCTAACAACTGGTTTACTGACCTTCCTTGATTGCAGCTTTTACAAGAAATACAACCCCATAGCTGTCCTTGAAAATTGAAGGACCTGAAAATAATGTAGTATTCCTCCATAGATATAAAACAATGGAAACCAATCTGTGGGTCTTTGATCAGTAGATTAAGCCTAAAACAAGCTTTTAGTATTATAACAATCATTGTCATTGAAAAGGCTTGTTTACACAAAGCCTGAATTCATTTGCGCATAGCAGTTCATTTACACAGTGCACAACAACTGTCATCATGCACATAACCTTAGATAGTGGGTTGTTCTACACTCTGTATGTTTAGCAAAGGATGACCAGTGCCACTGATCAATTAGATTATTTTGGTGTACAACACATTCGTCATGAGAAGAATTTGGTGTCGTCTGTGTCATGCTTTCACGCTTAAGGACCAAAATGTCATGCCTAGATTTCAAAATATATGCAGTAGAACCCCAGCTTTGGGACATCTATTACTGTAAGGGGACACGCCTATAATAAGGTGACACTTTTTTGGCCACAAAACAAGAGAAAGTATATCTTTTAACACTACAGCATACCCAAAAGGTGTCCCCTTAATAGGGCTTCTAGTGTATATACTGATAAGTGTTATTCACCATTAATAGCTCTGTATAAACTGGCTTTGAAGCTCTGTCTAAACTGGCTTTGAAGCTTTGTCCATGCGATCAAATTTTCTTTGACAAAAGAACAGTTTTATGCCCATATATAGTCACGATGTGATGTCACCAAGACCATATTTAGGCATGTTACATGTTTTGTCAAATAAAATTTGATAGTCTGGAGAGTGCTTTATGATTTTAATATATGAAATTGACAGTCTTTTATAGGGTATGGTAATGGATCAATCTCTAAGCTGGGCCATAGTATCAAGTGTGCTTACATGGACAACATTGTACAATATCATCTGTCTAATGAACCCACAACGCAGTTATGAGTGGAATTGCCGTATCCTTACATTGATTCATGCTATCGTGATTGTAACCATGTCTGCATGTTTTGGATTTATTTATAATCCATGGCCATTCACACATCCTGGTAGGTTTTAATAGGCTGTAAGTGTATTGACATACATTCTATCCTATATATATACTGTCTCTTATACACATCTAGATGTGTATAAGAGACAGGGCTTAGGCCTAGGCTAGGCTAGCCTAGCCTTGTCAGGGTGGATTTCGGGTAAGAGAAAACACATTATCTGGTGCCGCTAGCTGGCATCCGCCCTTGATATCGTGGATCAAGCCTTGCTATTATTATGTGAGTACCTCTGTTTAAAATTGTTATTTATTTGTACATCATCGTTGCATTTGGCAAATTGCCTGAGCAGGCCTGACACCCCTCTTCTCCTGGTTAACGATTCTTTTGACAGCTAGGCCTCCCTAGCCTAGCCTAGGTAGATCCTAACCAACAGCGAAACTTTTTATTTTGTATACAGTATTTGAGTATAAGAGACAGTGGTTATCCTCTGCGAAGTTTTGCAGCTAGTTTGCAGTGGACTTGCTGCAATATAAATATCACATGGCATAAATTATATATTTCCACCTTTATTAGAATGATTTATATTTTTTAATAAAGTTGATTTGGATAATAAGACGTTCATTGTTTTTGGTTTTTTTTGGTGGGGGGTTGTTTTCTTTGCTAATATTAATTTATCAAATCATCTTTGAACTAAAAAAGGAGACGTCAAATTTGTGGTGCCAGGATTTCAATGATCACTATGTTATCAATGAGGCCTACTGTAAGTATAGTAATTTAATACAATAGTATAGAGATATGTAAATAAAGTGAATAATTACTATATTGAGATACAATGAATACATATCCAAATTCAGCACTATGACATTCCAAGTTATATGTTATTCCACTACCTTCTTTAACTAAAAGGTATGTGAATGATTATAATATACAGTAATTATATAGAATCAATGTAAGCCCTAAATAAATGGAAAGTAGACCAGTGCTACCACTCTGGCCTAGTGAAATGTGATGTATTAATATGTAACACATTATAATTTAATGAATATATTTATAGAAAAATAAATACCAAAATGCAAGTTGTGTGTTCTGGGGCACCTGATCACAAAAACAATATTCATGTTTGCAAATACAGTACCACTTAAAACCTAGTTTCAAACCTAAATATCTAATTTATTCACAGGCATGCATTATTCTGGCATAAATCACAACATTAAATGCTAGGAAAATAATGTTAAACAAAGTTAATTTAAACATGACCGGTATTTTTATGATCCTTTGCTTTCATAATGTAATATTCTGTCGAGAAGTTAATAGGTGAAAAATAGCCCAATTTTTTAAAAACGCAAATGGTATACCTCACAGTTTTTGTAGAAATAGGACAATCTTTCGACCTGCCATTTCTGTAGCACCTACGGATCATACAAATGTGTTCTGTAGCACCTGCGAACCACCAAAAACCAACTAAATGGAAAACAGCCCAATGGAAAAAACATGCTAAGGGGTTCACAGTTTTTGTCGAAATTGGACAATTTTTCGACCCTGCCAATTTGCGGTTCTTATGTGTTCTATGACATCTACGGATCATACACTAAAGACCAACTATGTGAAAAATAGCCCCATTTTCAGAAAAAAAAGTCTAAAGGGTATAGCTAACAGGTTTTGTCGAAATTTGAAGCATTTTCAGTTTTGTGTTCTGTAGCACATATGCATCACAAAAAAACTATCCATGTTTGCAAACACCATTTCAAACCTAGTTTTAAGTCTAAATAATATCTAATTAATTCATTAGGCATAATAATTAATAACATTACATAATATGAAAAAGATGTTAATTTATTTAAAACATAATCGGTGCAAGCATTTGTCGAAATTGGACGATTTTTTTTTCACCCTGCAATTTTGTTTGTGGCACCTACGGATCATACATATATGTTCTGTGCACCTACAGACCTTAAGAATGGAAAAATCACAAACAAAATGGACGATTTTAGATCCTGCTATTTTTCTTTTGTTTTGTGTTCTGTGGATTGTACGGAACCTACGAATAAAAAAAATTCACAAAAAACAAGGTGAAAAATAGCCAAATTTAGGAAACAACGTAAAGGCTATAGCTTACAGTTTTTGTCGAAGTTCTTGACCCTGCAATATTACGGCTGTAAGTGGGTTTCTCAACTAGTGGGTGTGATAAAAGATACTAGATAAATATTGCCTTCTTGTATATCCTGTGTATTTCTTCCTCAGTGGTTGGAATTGTTCAAGGGTTGTAGTGCTAGGGTAGCCAATGATCGATCTTTGCTCTTATATTCACACCATGCTCACAACTTTTCATTTTATAAGTATGTGGTATAAATTTAAGGTCCCACTAAAGAAATGTGCAGATATATTTGCAAATAGAGTTGTGGGACATGGACTTATCCACTGGCCATGGCCACTCAAAAACACATTCTGATTGGTCATGTTGGGTTTGATTGACACTCCAAAAACGTCCATTGCCATGCAACCACATGGCAGCTGTAGGTTCCATGTCCTGTATACGTATTTGGCTACGACAGTGCGCTGAATTCACTATGAACAAAGAAAAGGTGAAATGCACTGGCAGGCCAAAATCCCTCTGACGATTAGATGGAAAAGGTTGAAAGACCTGGTTAAAATATTCCTCATTTTCTTTTAAATTTTGTATGAAATAAAATATTTTGTATTGCACATGTAATATGTTGCAATGTACATGTAAATAAATGAAGTACACGATTAAATATATACAGATAATTCTCCAAACCACTCTTTATTTCTGAGAAAAATAAATGACAAGTGAACATTTGATTAAAATAAGATTAACACTTCTTATTCCTAAGAGCAGAGACAATGGAAAACATTTAATATAAAAATATTTATCAACTGCCAAACTATATAACATGTGCACATTTTATATAATGAGCTTTCACAAGCTTGTTTATTAATACAGGCTCCCTCTAATGAAAGACACCTCCAATTCAAGACAATTTTTTATGTGGTCCTAAATTAACAATTGTCTTTTATGTTTATTATTCTAATTAGAAACCAAAGCTGATAAAGACTATGAAAACTCCAGTCCCAAAATTGGTCATTAATTGGAGGGAAACCTCTATAAACAAAATTACATTAAATATCTATAAATTAGATATAATATATATGTATTACTAAAGCCTACATAATTTAAGATTTGTAGAACAAAATTAATACTAGTTAAAAATATTTTTGTATAGCCAGTTGAAAAATGGGCTAAAAAATAAAATACAGTAATCAGAACATTTTGAAAAAATAAACAACTTAAATCAATACTATAAATAAATTCCAACTATTGACATAAACAAAGCTTTTGGATTAACTAATCTATATAAAAATTACATCATAATTTTGTTATAAATATAAAGCAAAGCATAGCATGCTGTATGTTTATTACTGTACTAGTTTACACCATAAATAAAGCAAGCTTTGATGCAGCAATCATAATCACAGAAAAAAGTACACAAGTAAATGTCTAACAAGTTGTAATTTAGTAAATTTTTTTTCAATGAGCATCACAATAAATATTTGACAATGTAACTCACAGGTGAGCAAAACACGGCCCATGGGCCACATGCGCCCCGACAGCGACTTTTTGCAGCTCGCGAAAATGAATTAAAAACCCTATGTATGTGGCCCACCAAACTATTTCGACTAGAAAACACCTTGCTTAGTACCGATCACCTGTAAACAATAATGTTATAAAATAAAGTGGTATAAAAGCAGTGCATGAAGGTTTTCGAAAGCACACTGTAAACATCAAAGTTTGGGTGCGGCCCTCTGTGTTAAATAAAAAACTTACTTTGTCCCTCCAACTAATTTTTATGCCCACCTCTGATGAAACTAATCAGGGGTGTTGCCAGGATTTGCCTGATGAGGGTCTGATGCCCCTAACAGGGGTGGGGGACTCCTCAATGAGAATGCAAGTGGACATAGTTGGGTGTTGCTCAAGATCTCCTGGAAGTGAACCAGAGCAACATATACTAAAGTACCAACAAAGTAAGAATGAAGTACGTG